TTCCGGCGTAGTTCCAGTTCACTGCAAGTTGAGCTATCGCGAGTCATTCTAGCTCTCAGTCATTCTCATTTTAGGATATTCTCATTCGAGTCATTCTCAGCTAAAGGATAGACGCAGTCAGGCAGGTACCGTAGAGACAAGAAGTCCCTGGATATTTCGTTTGACTTCATTTCTGTGGAAAATTCGAGATGTCCCAAGTGTTCAGAGATGGACCCACGGGTCAGGTAGACAGTGATGTTTAGGATGAACCATGTTCATCCTGGAAAATATAGGTCATCAGTTGGCGGTGAGGTGATTATAAGACTGGTTGTTTGTGTCTGTTACCTGAAAGTCAAGGTCTTCTTCTATCCTAAAATGACTATCATCAGCTTGGTTAGATGCCAGACCGTACCAAGTATTTATGAAATATAACGGGTACGCGTTCTGACCGCAATAGTCCCATTGGCCATTGCTTCTCCAATCTTTCTTACCAGGGCTGCGGAGTCGATGGATTTTAGGGTGACTCCGACTCCGACCCAGGCTCTGGCTTAAAAATCGACTCCGACTCCAACTCCGACTCCGGACGGTTCTATTAAAATCCATATCGTGATATTGAAGTTCATAATGGCGGTGTTTTTATCTTGCCTGAAACCATCCCTTATGCGTTCCAAGGCTTTGCGTTGCAAATATGCATTAAAAATGACATGCAGAATTAAAAAGCAGGTTCTGGGGCATTCATCGTCTTCTGCTTCTTTCGCTTAAAACGTTCGTTAAACACAACAAAATGGCCTTTTTTGGACAAAATATAATTTCGGGTGCAGTACCGTCAAGCAAACAAGTGCAGTGCATGATGTTTAGCCATGCAGCGTTAGCTCCGACTCCGGAGTCGGCGTCGGCAACATTTTGGCGACTCCGACTCCGGGCAGAACTGTCGACTCCGACCGACTCCGACTTCGCAGCCCTGTTTCTTACTGAATATTATTCGTCATTGGCGAAACAGCAAAATGCTAAAGGATAATGGAGATGTTGTTTTCATCTAACCATACCTACCTTAGATTTTGTCAAGGACAAGGCATTCAGTGTGGCGTGACGGGGTTTTCAACTACCTACGCGGCGACGGGCGAACTGAGGGGATTTTTAGATGGACAGACTAAATAAAGTAGGCGTCCGGAAGTCGGTAGAAAGCAATCTTTGTCGGTATTCCCATGGGGAACAATTGAAGAAAGGAAAAAAGGAAAATGTGAAAAACATAAGGTAGAAGTAGGTACTTATAGTTGTGTGATCTATGACAAAACTGCAGAAGCTTTAATATTAATATCGAAAGTCTTATCTCAGTGCATAACTTTCTATTTATCTTGTCCTAATATGCTGGCATTCAGAGATAAAGGCTGTTGTAACCAAATCATACGCCTTCCTCTTACTGCGCCGTCCTGATGAACGCCGCCTAGCTGTCTCGTGGGGCGCGCGGAACGGAGCGTCGCGACGCTTCCTGTCTCGCCGGCGGACCAGGAAGCGCTCCTCCCCGTCCCTCTCCCCTCCCCTCCGCTCCGGAGCGGAGGTCAGGGTCAGCCGGCCTTCCCTTCCCTGGGAGATCGAGGAAGTGCCGAGAGACGGCCGGCCAAACGATGGGAGAGTGGAGAGGGCACTCATTGGTACTCACGATTATCTTGGGCCGAGTGGTGGGGCACGGTGGGAGTAAGGGATTGTGGTGAGCTATTTGTCACATCTGCGTGTGACATTTCTACAGGTACAAAACAGTTGAATTGCATCGAACAAATGCAATTTTGTAGTGAGCACTGAGCACTTTCATCGTGCAATAACCCACTCGTCATGTCCAATTAGAATGAAGTTCTATTTCCGTGACACCATCTCTCCTGTTTTCGTTGTTTCGCTCGAGCTCGCCGCGCACGTGCCAACATTCCAGGCCAGATGGAGCGTAGCCCGATCCCAGCATGAGGCCTGTGCAGGCTAGAGAACAAAGAACTCTCTCTCGACCTGGGACGTGCAAAGTGCGCACAGGAGTTGTCGGCGCTGGCGAACCTGGTGTGAGAATCGCTGCAAGATCTTTGTAAGGAGCGGGGGAGAGCAGGTGAATAAAAATAGGTCGATATTGTTACGATAGCTGCACGTTTCTCGAAACATGTGATGCATCGTTTGATTCTGGTGCTTCTAGCTTCGATCACCATTCTGAGCTAGTGTGAGCTCCATTTTAGTGTCTATGGCTTCCACTGAGTCATTGTAAGCAGTTCCCTAACGCTAATCTGACCGTCTTCCGCCCAACTAACCGGACTCCTTCCTTGGCGGGCCCGCCAGCCGCCGTATCCGCCTCCGCTGATGCGGGCGATACCGGCGGAGGGTCGATGATCACAGGACGTTTAGCTGACGTGGCGCCGGGCGGAAGTCAGGAACAGACTCACTGGAGCTGTGTCTCGGCGGTCCAGCGGAACCGGCTGGGTCCGTTCCCGTGTTCGCTTTCCGTGTTCGTTATCGTGTTTGCTGAGGAGAACGGCGTCGGTTACGATCCGTTAACCCGCGCCCGGCTGGGGGTCCTGGATTTCCACGCCCTGCTGGGGGGGGGGGGTGTTTGAACACCCCCCCTTCTAACTCGGCTCCTGGGCCACGTAGCGATACGCGGAAGGCGGCGTTCGAAAGAGCGTCAAAAATAAGGAGGAAATCACTTCGGTCAATTTTTTGGTCAGGTCAAAGGTCAGGTCACCAGAGGTCATTGAAGGCAAAATTTCGCCGATTTCCAGGTCGAATGTCGACAATTTCCAAGAAGCCAACGCATAACTCGGGAACCAATAGAGCTACAGCGCCGCGGAAAAGCGCATTTGATAGCCCTATTAACGCCCTTTCTGAGTAATTTTCTCAGATTTGACCTAACGTCAACGGTTTTGCCTGCAGGGGGCAAAAACTGCAAAAATAGCCGATTTTTTCGGAAACTGTTTTTCTGCAATAACTTTTGACCCAAGCCTCGTACGAGCTTACTTTTACCGGCATCGTGTTCCTCTCGTCAAGACGCATCGAATGAACTATAACTTGACCTTGAAAGGTCAACTTGAAAATTTGACCTCAGGTCAAGGTCATGACCTGACCGGAAAGGGTCATGTTGCATATCAGTCGATCCGTATCGTCGAGCTGAACACATCTAAGGCGTTTTCATCGCTCTAGCATGCCTCTATCAAAAGTTATTTGCGAAAAACTGTTAGATACCATTCGTGACCTAAGATGACCTCAGGGCATAAACAGGGGTCACGGACACCATTTTCATGTTCATTGTGTCTAAACCACTTGTAATTCAGTGTTTGGGAGTGTTTATAATGTCTTTCGTCCAAAGGAGGCGCATTTCAATTTTCTCCCATTGACTTATAATGGGGAGGTCGCAAAATTGACCTGACCTTAGGTCATCGATATCAAAATTCTGAGATATACATTTTGTACATGCTATTGCTCTTAGCAATCGCTGAAAGTTTCAAAGCGATCGGTCACTCGGTGTAGCTATGACAGACATTGAAACTTTTTATGAGGTGAGGTCACTTCAAGTGACCTGGTGACCTGACCTTGAATAACCTTGGTCTGAAATTTTCACAACATGTGTAGAATTGATGTATGATAAGGTGTACCAAAAACGGCGGCGCTCCGCGCCGCCGTTTTTTAGATATTCGCAAAAAACCACAAGGGGGGGTGTTCAAACACCCCCCCAGCAGGGCGCGGGTTAAGCTAATTCTGGGATTTTTTGGGTGATACCGCTATACAAGCGTGTCGAAGAGGTGGCGGCTGTCATGTGAACATGACCAGTGATGCCTGTCAATCTCTGTTTGCTGTGAATATCTCGACCAACGAGCTGCTAGGATTCGTCTTGCAATATCCAACCTATGCTGGTTTGGTCGCCATGTTCTGTCGCAGTCCGCTTTGAATATTTACCGGTAGTAAGAGGGTCATTCATTCATTGAGTATAGGGCAACAGGTGGCCCGTCCTTCTAGCCAAAATAATCGCACACATGCTTACAAACATAGAAAGTAGTATGTAAGCAGTACACAACTGAGGTTTCGAGCATGGTGCACTTTTTCTAGTTAGTGGACTTATACCGGTCCCCTGCGAGCTCCACACCAACCGCGGCCACGCCCCGCTCCTTCCCACCATCACTGACTCCTCTACCCCCTGCCAGCCCCCTCTCCCACCCCTGTCGGCTTTCTGCCAACTCTGACCCGGCCTGGGCCGCTGCCACGCCTGCCCGGTTCGTTCGTGTCGCCGGGCGCTGGAATCTGGCCGCCGCTCGGCGCGGCGGCGTCGATCAGTGACCGGCCCCATGCCAACTCCTACCCTCCCTGGGCCTGATGGGGGTGTGACGGAGTTCAGGCACCACCTGCTTCCCACCTGGGCACCTCTGGCGGCTGTCGGAGGGACGCTCGGAGTGAGAACCCCGGCGGGCGCCACTCCCGACAGAGTCTGGTTTTGGGGAAGCGGGTGGAGTGAATCTAGCCAGATGCTTATGACAGGAGGGACGGGGCTGTGCTGATTCAAGAACGTTCTGTTTATTGATCATCGATTTAAATCGAGTTAGGTCGATCGATAACGTCCGTGACCGATTTGCTGTCCTGATTGGACCAAGTGTCCGTCCTGCGTGCCGGAGCTGTCTGGGATAATGATCCACAGCTGGCCGGCTGACGGGCTGCGTGCCGCTGTCGGAAACCCAGTCACGCCAGATGACTCTGACTCACTTCGCACCGGCACGCCGGCCGCCTTGACTGACTCGGCGCGCCCCGAAGGCCGTCACCGGCCGTGCACTTCCTTTGTGGACCCAAGCTGCCCGAGACGCCGGCCTCTACGGCCAGTCACGTGGCTGGCCGCCGCCGCGCCGGTCAGGGCCGGCGGAGAACGGAGGCCGGCCAGAGTGACGGTCACTGCCGCTAGACCGCCGCCCATCGATTGCCCCCTGGTCAGCTGACGACGGAGGCTAGGTGAAGAAAATGACAGAAACTGAGGTACCGCCCTGATCCGGGCGGAACTAGCGGCAGGC